GTCCTCAGGGGCCTGTGCCAGCCCAGCTCCCAGTGCCTGGGGCCTGACTCTGGGTTCATCCAAGGGAAGTAGGTTTGACCAGGTCCAGCCTGCAACGTTACTCATAGGACTGGCATGTGGTTTTAATCCAGCCCTCTGACAATATGCTCATGTATTCCCTCTCATCCGGGCCATGGTTTTGTTATGAAAAGCATTTAACTGATTTTTTAAAAAAATGGAACAAAAACATTCCAAATTCATTCCAAAATCTCTGTCACTCTCACTCAGAGTCTGAGTAGTGACGAATCAGTGACCAGCCGGTGGGAGCTGTTTAGAAGAGGGCGGAGGTGGGGTGGGGGACAGCACAGAAGGGTCTGTCACCCCTTTAGTCATGACTCCAGAACCCAAGCCAAACTCAGTTTTTATTACACGCACACACGCGTGCATGCACACACGCATGTGCACACGCACACATCATCATCATCATCATCACGTGGCTTCCCTCTGCTCCTTCTCCCACCCAAGAAACTCCCACCCAGCAGCACTTTGCAGGTGCTTTGTGATTCTGTCTCTTGACGGGGAAAGGAACATGCGGTCTCTGTTTTCTCTCCACCTTCCCTGCCCCACATTTTGTCCCATCACCCATGGCTGTTGAGTGGAGGACCAGGTTTTTGTCATCTTTCTTTGACGTCTGGGAGTGAGGAAAAGATGGCTTTGCCTCTGTCCCTGCCATTGGTTCCTCTACAGCAGCCAGTGGGGACGACAGTGTTAATCATGATGGCAGGTGGCAGGGTTCAGAGCGGGGCATTCTGGGAGGCGGTCCAGGGAAGGGAGAGCTAGTGCCCAAAAGTGAGTCAGAACCCTGACTGGATGTTCCCAAAGTAGAAGAGCGTTCCTTTCCCCGTGACCCTTGAGAAATGAGGAAAAGTCTCCTGCTGGCTGTTACAGCACAAACTCCAGTCGAGCCCTTCCTGCAAGTGTCCTCGTTCCTCCGACCGTCTCTGTGCAAAGGCGGCCAGCGTTTGTTGGAATTTTTTTTTTTTTTAAGTCCTTCTTAAAAGACTTCTCCGGTTCCCATTTGACAGAAGGCTCCCCATGCCAAATGGCCACCTTATGGCAGAAACTGGTGTACAGAAGATATCTGTGCCCACCTAGGACCCTCATCTGCTGGCTGTTACAGCACAAACTCCAGTCGAGCCCTTCCTGCAAGTGTCCTCGTTCCTCCGACGGTCTCTGTGCACAGGCGGCCAGCGTTTGTTGGAATTTTTTTTTTTTTTTTAAGTCCTTCTCAAAAGACTTCTCTGGTTCCCATTTGACAGAAGGCTCCCCGTGCCAAATGGCCACCTTATGGCAGAAACTGGTTTACAGAAGATATCTGTGCCCACCTAGGACCCTCATCATCATCGCAGCCTGAGCCCCATCTGTAGAGACAGCACTAATCCTTATTAGTTAAGGGGAAGAGGCTACATTTCATTACGAAACGGATTCTTTTTTTCAGGTGTGCGACATTATAATTTGATATTTTTGTACACCACTTAGTCTTCACCACTGTAAATCTAGTTCCCATCCATCACCGTACAATTAAACTTCTGTATTGTCATCTGACCAAGGGTGCACATTGAGCCCGACGGAAATCACAAAAGGATCTGCGTTAGGTGGGTTTCGCTGTGATAATGCTGCGTAACAAACAACCTCACAGCCTCAGGGGCTCATAGCAACATTCACCTTTATCTTGGTTACAGGGCCGTGGCTAGGCTGGACCCAGCAGTGTGGTTGGGTTGGCTCCAGGCTGGGGGTTGGGTTCAGGTCTGCTCCAGGTGCCTCCCCTGGAGTGTGCTCCTCTCATGGTGGAGGACAGGTTTGCCAGGAGGGAGTCAAACCACGCAGCACATTTAAAGCCTCCGTTGGATGTGGCATACATTCCATCTACTCACATTCTACCGGCAACAGCCAGTCTATTGCCAAGGTCAAGGACAGTGGGCGGGGAAGTGTGCTCCATCTTTAGTGAAACCGTGGTAAGGTGGGGAGGAAGGAAGAATTGTGGACAAATAATACCACCAATGACACTGTCCTTTTTAAACAATGACTTCATGCTTAAGAGCTGCCTTCCACCCTGTGTGGAGGTATTGTCTGGGAATGGGGTGGTGGCTCCTGTCCCCAGCCCAGCCCCCCAGCTTTTCCGTGGACTTGGCTCCTTACTGCTCTCCTGGCTTCCCTTCCCACACTCGCTGGGGAACCCGAACCCCACTCTCGTCAGAACCTCAGTCTTTCCCTTTCAGCCCCTCCACGTGTTTCCCTCCCGGCTCCCACCCGTTCTCTCCTCTCCTTCCCGCGCGCCTTCAAGCCAGGCGATTCCTTCCTATTCCACCCTGGATGTCTTTGGATGGCGCCTGTGCAGGACGAGACCTTTCTCGCGGCCAAGGTGGCCGCCTCTTGGCTTACACTTGAGGTTTTATGATGGAAGAGTTTCTCTTTTTTCCCCTGCCTTGAGTTATGTTCCCAAATATCCCCATGTTTTTTTTACTCTGACATTACAATGTGCCAAAACTCTGGAAAGGAGTTGGGTGTTCTTCACACCCCGGAAAGGTAGAGATGGGTTCAGAAAGTGGAGGCAGAAAAACCCTGATCCCAGCACTCATTTAAATGGACCAAGCCGGGTAATTGGCCCTTTACTATTTCGCTGCTTATATTTCCCATGCCAGTCCTGGGAGGGAGGAATTATCCTATTCTCCCCTGTTTTGTAACTGAGGAAAAGGGACAGAGAGGTTGTGTAACTGGCCGATGGTAACACAGCTCAGAAGGGCAAAAGCTGGTCTAGAACTCAGCTGTGTCTTCTCCCCAGCCCATGCCATTTGCTTTTCAGCTTTTTTTTTTTTTTCTGCCCTTCTTCCTTCCTTTGCGGCTGTGGGTAGACGTGGCTGTTGGGCCAGTGGGCATCTTGTCTGAGGGATTAAGGGGGCATCTTAGTGAAAGGGCGGGAGGTAGAGATATGGGGAGGAAGGAGAAATAGAGCCGCCGTAGAACCAGACGGTGAGGGGCACGCTGTTCCGTCATCGCAGGGCAGAAAAGGCCGTGTGGATATCTCGGATGGGGAGTCGGGGGCGGGTCTGGCTGGCGAGCGTGCAGCGGCGGAGTCAGCCGGGTTCCACCAGCAAACTTTCTAGTATGTGATGCGTCATTCCCCTTACTCCTTTCTCTACATATTCTTCATTATTCAACTATTTCTCCTCAGAAGATTTTTTTTTTTTTCCCAGTTCTATCAAAGCTGCTTTTCTTTCCCCAAAGCTTTACTTACTTGGGTGGCCGGCCCTGCAAGGACATCTGCTCATGGTCATTTTGAACCTTTCTCTCTGCACGACTGCGCAATTGCCAACTTTCCCCAGGTCAACGGAAGCCAAGTCGGGCCGAGAGAGGGATCAAAACGTTCTGTCTTCTTGAGACGTCTTAAAAAGATGATTTCGTTTTCCCTTGTGATATCCAAAAGTTTGAGAACACAGATTATGAATCCAACTTGAAAACACATTTTTCTTTTTAGAAAGGAGGAAAAAAAACCCAAACAGACTCTTGTCCATGGCCATTTCTCCCTTTAGCTTTAATAGATATATTAGCATTCTCGCCAGCCGTATGAGCCTGAGCGAATCTTAACACTCTCAGCCTTTTGGTTTCTCTTCTGTGAAACAGGAATAATATGATTCCCATTTCCCGATGTTCTTGTGAAGATGAAAGGCGATGCTAACTGATAGACAATGAAAAGTTAACATCAGTAAGAAGGGGTGGGACCCAACAACTTCCTCTTTGGGGGTCTCCTCTGTAGAAATCCTCACAATTTCGCCCAGAGGTGCATGTCCTGGATGTTCAATGCAGCATTGTTTGCCGTAATAAAAATTGGAAATGATCTAAATACCTTTCCGGTAGAGGAATGGGTAAAGAAATTATGGCACATTCTCACTGTGAACTGTTAGGCAGCAGTTAACTAACCCTATACTGAAGAAGACAGATGTGCAAAAAGCCTCAGGACATATTGTTATGTCAACCAAAGCGAGTCGTGGAATAGCTACCTCCTTGATGCTGAAAATAATTACCATGTGCAGCAGACTGAAAAATGGATACAGCCACTATGGGAAACAGCATGGAGATTTCTCAAAATATTAAAAATAGAGCTACCGTACGTTATAAGTTGAATAAGTTACAAAATGAATAAGTTTTGACTCCAGAACGCAGTGGCTCAAACAGCTCTTGGCAGCTGTGATTCCATGTGGTCATAGAGGCTTCTGAGCTCCTCCCTTCCGGTGGCTCCAGGGGTTCGAGCATCAGAATCGCCTGGAGAGCTTGTTGAAACACAGGTGGCTCTACCCCAGTTTCTGATAGAGTAGTTGCGGGGGTTGAAGGGGCTGAGAATTTGCCTTTCTGACAAGTTCCCAGGTGATTGCTGTTGGTTCAGAGGCCACGTGTTGAAAAATCACTGCCCCACGTCCTTGGTGACACGTGCAGAGCTGGTGCCGCTACATCCGTGAGCCAAGAGAGAACGGCCAGGCAGCCAACTTCCTTTTGAGCAAGCAGGGCAGGCAAAAGTGGCTGACACCTGCCACGGGCAGGGACCGAGTCACGTGGCCCACCCTGGCTGCAAGGGAGGCAGGGTAAAGTCATCATAGCTGGGAAGCCATGTGCCCGGCGAAAGGGAAGGGTGTGTTTTTGGGAAACAACTAGAGGCCTGACCAAGTGGCCCTGCAGAGAGGATAAGAGAGAGCCCGCGCTCAGGGTGGGGACAGATGTGGAGGAGACTCTGATGGTGCTCGGTGGCCTACCCCAGAAGGCGAGCCAGCTAAGCTTCGGAGCAGCAGTGCTGGCTGCAGTGCCTGTTCCTCTCTCGAAGGCGACTCGGTGTCGCTTCGCCTGGGCTCTGCTCCTTCGCCTCTGCAGGCGTCCAGGATGGGCCCTTGTTCACCATCCCCGTTGTCTCGTGAGTTGGGGCTGATGTTTTCCGACATCTGAAACTCTCTTTTTTCTACCCCATCCGCTAGGCGTCTTGGCTCTGGAGGAAGCTGCATGGCAAGAGGCGGCTGGTGATGGCCTTCTGCCTCTTGATGACTCTGTCTGTGGTGGCTGTCACTCGCTTCCCTGCACAGCATCCAGCCGCCATGGAGCCCTGGGGGGTAACCGGCATCCCTGCCCCCCACAGCCTGCGGGCTCTGAGCTCCCGCCGGAGGCAACAGGCAAGAAACCTGCGGTTCTGGAGAGGCCGGACCCTGCTCAGGAATTCCAGCCTGGTGCGTGCTGAGCAGCAAGGCCACAGAGGGCGAGCGGACAGCAGCAAGCAGGCCCCGGGAGGGGACAGCAGCCGTTTAGGGAGGGTCAGGAGGGATATTACTTTGGCATCTCTAGGAGATTTGAGACTCGGTACCCAGAGTCTTATGCTCTCAAGGGACGATGAGGTCAGAGGTCTGAGTGCCAAAGATCGGGGCCACCCCTGGGGTGCTGGGCCCATCCAGGAGGCTCAGAGAGAGACAGGCACCCTGGTTGGCCCCCTCGCAGAACACCAGAGAGCTACTGCTGGACCGACCCTCAGGCCCCATCCAGGGGAAGGCAGGGATCTGCCAGGAGCTGGGAATGGAGACTTGACTGGCGGGAGACAAGCAAAAAAAGATCCCACCCCGGCCACAGGGGCTCGTCGGTGGCCTGGCTCCGTTGGGGAGCTGCAAGGATCCATCTGGTGTGCCTCTGAGACTGCTGGGCTGTTGACTGGCTTGAGGACCGGCGGGCAGGTGCCCCCATGGCTCACAGAGCACGATGTGCAGACCCTCCAGCTGTTGGCCCAGGGCAAGGTGGTGGGCAAAGCCAGGGTCCCTGGCCATGGGCAAGTGCTGCAGGTCGGCTTCTCCACCGAGGGCGCCCTTCAGGATGTGTCTCCTGGACTCAGCCAGCTCTGCTCCCAGGGGCTCTGTGGCCTGATCAAGAGGGCTGGGGACCTGTCCGAGGTCCTGTCCTTCCACGTGGACCGAGTGCTGGGGCTGCGTCGGAGCCTGCCTGCGGCGGCCCGGCACTTCCACAGCCCCCTACTGCCCTACCGCTACACAGACGGCGGTGCGAGGCCCGTCATCTGGTGGGCGCCCGACGTGCAGCACCTGGGGGACCCAGACGACGATCAGAACTCTCTGGCCTTGGGCTGGCTGCAGTACCAGGCCCTGCTGGCACAAGGCTGTGGCCGGCCAGGCCAGGCCCGCTGCCCGGGCATCCGCCACGCCGAGTGGGCACGCCTGGCACTCTTCGACTTCCTGCTGCAGGTAGGTGGGGTGGGGCCGGGCGAGGTAGGGGATTTGGGGTGACTTGAGACGCTGGAATTGCGTCTGAGGATGGATGGTGACTCTACCCCCACCCCGAGGCCTTGTCTTTCGACCACCAAGCACCTGTTTTTGTTATTTTTCCGCCTCGGTATTAATTCATCCAGTGGTATGTGGGAACAGCTCACGAGTAGCCGCTGCCCTCTTCAGAGGCTGCCATGTTCCGCTTTTGGCCGCAGGCCCTCTCTCTTTGTTGTCTGACACCCACCTAGTGACCTGCCCCAAAACCTCTGAGCGGTACTTGTCGGCCTGTAGGCGTTGGTCTCAGTCACTGGACTGGCTGGTCTCCCGCGGCGCTTCCAGCTCCTCTAGTCTGTATCCCCGTGGCAGCTTCGTGGATGGAGGAGCGTGCAGCCCGGTGGTTGGCGTGGGCCTTGGCATCAGGCAGACTTGGGTTTGAATGCCCCGCCCCAGGCCACTTCCCACTGTATGACACCGAGCAGATTACTTCACCTCTGACCTTCACTTTTCTCACCTCGAAAACGGGACTGGTGTCCCCACCTCATCCCCTTGAGCCTGACCATTTTAGCGCGTGGTATCCCCAAACTGCCAGCACTTGGGCCTGTGCCCTGGAGCCTGCTCCGCCCAGTGTGTAACAGGTCAGGTGCTGGGGGATTAATGTCGTTTAGATAGTGTGACCTGCCATCCAGGTTGGGACGGAGGGGCTTCCCAGCCCATAAGATTTTCGGTGCTGTAATTGGGAGAGTCCTGGGCAAGCCTGGAAGGCTGGCCATGCTTCCTCCAGAGCAACACCTCCTTTTGGGTGTGTAAAGCCCAGCTCCCTGGCTGGGGTCGCTCTGTGGTGTGTACTCCATGTGTCTCTCGGAGTTTCCTACCAGGATTGAGGCCCAGGTACATGCAGGAGTCATGGCTGGCCCTCCCTACGTCACTTCCCCTGCTTGTGTTTTTGGATTAGCTCTGGATAGACTGCTTTTGCTTGGATCCGTGTCTCGAGGTCTGTCCTAGACCTGATGATAACACTGACCTTGTGTGGTTTCTGCACACGAGATCGTTCATGTAATATACAGTGCGTGGCGGTGGCACACACTCGGTAATAAGCTGCGACTGTCTCCGACACCTGATAGGCACTAACTCACCCAGTTTTCGTGGCGTGCTTACGAGTGAGATATGACATTTATCCCTATTTTAAAGTTGAGAAATTGAAGCCCAGAGAGATGAAGTTACTTCCCCAAGGTCACGGCTGGTAGAGCAGAAACGCAGCCTTGACGGTCTGACTCCGGAGCTCACCCTCTCAATCACAGAATCACTATTAACCTGGCCGTGACTGAGGGCAGGAAGAGGGGACCTGTCCAGGGATGCCCGCGCTCCTTGAGATTGGAGGCAGCTCCTTGCAAAGCCCCAGTGCAGCCGATGTGCATACGGCAGCTTTCTGCTCCACACAGAGCCCCTCTGTCCGTCCCCTGGGCTTGCGGTGTGGGACTCTTCCTCGGCCGCCAAGTCCCGCTGTGGGGACATGAGTCTCAGCAGCCAAAGCACACACAGGTTGGGTGTGTGGGCAGATGTGACTCGGCTGGCCTCGTGCCATGTCTTCCCTGGTCTGCTGAACGCCTGTCAAGTCAAACACCCCTGTCTGGCTGACACTGCCTTCCTAGAAACCACTGGCAAGGCCGACAGAGGCGGGGCTTTGGGTTTCCCAGCACGGGAACCCGAGGTACCTTCTGACTGAGGGCCGGGTACAGATGCCACATACAGCCCACTCTGCGGTGTGCTTGCTCCTTATTTTATCCAGTATAAACCCTTGTTTTTCTGTGTTTGCGTAGGACAACATACCATTTACCTGGACACAAAATACACGAGCACTGCACACATACACATTCCTTACACCCCCACAAATCATACCCTGTGCTTCGCAAATCCCACACAGCCCTCTGGATTAGTGATTGTGGAGACGATGCTATGGAACAACACACTGACACGTTGTACACTTAAACATGAGCTTTATATGCCCACGTGTGCCATAGCCACACACACATGCACACCATTCATATGAATCGCATACCCCCATACATTCCATGTGGTGCCCAGACTCAATCTGTGGGCACCCGGGACTCAATCCTGCTGAGACCTTTTGGGGAGTATGTACGACGTGCCTCAGAGTCGTCCTGCCTGGGGGCCAAAGAAGCTGGGCTATTTACTCACCAACTGACCACTGTGGGCACCCGGGACTCAGTCCTGCTGAGACCTTTTGGGGAGTATGTACGACATGCCTCAGAGTCGTCCTGCCTGGGGCCAAAGAAGCTGGGCTATTTACTCACCAACTGCCACCTGTCACTGGTTGAGACAGACAGTTCCTGAGGGTGTGGACCTCCTGGCATCTGTAGCCTGGCCCATGTGCTGACCAGCCAAGCATGTTCCTGCACTGGAGAGGGGCGAAGGCAGAGAGCCACAGCCACTTGTGGAAAGCCATCGGCATGTACAGGAATCGTGAGCACCAAGGGGACATAGGTGGTATATGCCAATAGCGTCTGCTAATTATCATGTGTGAGGTCAAAGACAGATTTCAGTGGGTGTCAGTAAACTGGTTTCTTCTGAGTGAGACTGTCCTTTTCTTTCCCAAGGATCCCATTTCAGTCATTTGCGACCCTGTGTATGTTCCTTATTCTGTGTCCAAATCTATGGCTTCAGTTCACGGGCATCTTCTCTGGCTTGGTCTACCTGGGACATCAGGTGTTTCATCAGTTAGAGAAGAGCCCAGATTCGTGACTGCTGCTGACCCCCGCAGGCTTCCAACCAGAAACGTGAAATGTAATAGTAGCTACCATTTATGAAGTGCAGAGTCTGATACAAACCGCACACAGGAACTCATTTAAGTCCCATGACGGACCCCAGAGATGGATGCTGCGCGCCTCACCATCTCGCAGGTGATGCAGCCAAGTATGGAGGAGTCGAACAGCCTGCCTGGACAAGGGTTGTTTGAAAGGTGACACCGGGCAATTTTTCATATGTTTAAACATGGGATCTAGATTAGGGTGAGGTGTGATGGGCAAAATTCTAAGATGGTCACCAAGATCACCCTCTTCCCAACCCCCAGAATAAATTCCTTTCCCCGAGTGTGGATGAGATTTGTGAATATGATGAAATATCAAGTGATTAGGTTACTATACAGTTGACTTTGAGTTTAATTTAAAGGGAGGGCATCCTGGATGGGCCTGACCTAATCAGGCGAGTCTCTCAAGGATGAGGAAGGATCTGAGAGCTTTTCCTGCTGGCCTCAGGAAGGAAATAAACAGGCATACTATGAACTGCTTGTGGGTAAATCCTCTCTGGGAGGACTCTGAGATGCCCGGGGACCTGGTCCCACAACTTAAAGGCACGATTTCTGCCAGCAACCTAGATGAATTTAGGAGAGAACCCTGAGCTGTGAATGAATGTGGCCCTGGACGACACCTTGAGTTTAGCCTGGGGAGACTCTGAGCTGAGAACCCAGCAGAATGTGATGGACTCCTGAGCCACGGAAACCGTGAGATCATCCGTGTTCTTTTAAGCCACAAAGCTCCTGGTAATTTGCCGTGCAGCGCTAGAAAATGAATTTAGGAGGCAGGGAAAGGCTCAGGCTGCAAACAGACGTGGACCCTGCACTGCACGGCCCAGAAGTGGGCCGCTCCCTCGGCTTCTTCCACCTCGGTCTCGTCCTGTCTCGCTTCAGCCTTTTTAAAAACCTTTTTATAAAAAACTCTGTTCCTATCTTTGTCCCATTTTCTGTTGGAAGGGTGACATTGAGCATTTTTTCAATGATTTTAAGAGCTTTTCATAGTTTAAGGAAATTGGTTTTTTGTTTTCACTGGGTTGTAATATTTCTCTCAGGTTCAATTGTTATTAAGCTTTGTTGATAGTCTCTTTGTTGTGAAGAAATGTCAGACATTTTTATGTTAGTAACATGATCAAGCTTTTGTTTTATGACTTAGGTTAGTATATCATGTTTTAAAAGGCCATCCTCGTCTACGGCCATGCCACCCTGAACGAGCCTGATCCTGTCCGATCTCGGATGGCAACCCAAACGCGCCATTTGTTGAAGAATTAATCTTTTCCCCAGTCTGAAATGCTCCCTGAACCTTATAGGCAATTTCCATATGTAAGTCTATTTCTGAACTCTTTTCTGTTCCAGTAAAGGGTCTATTTATATGCCAGAATCACACCGTTTTAATTATTGCACTTTATATTTGATGCTAAAAACTAGCAGGGCTCGGTCTTTCTCATTGCTCTTTTTAAGAATTTTCCTAGTCTACAGCCATGCTACCCTGAACGAGCCCGATCCTGTCTGATCTCAGAAGCTAAGCAGGGTCGGGCCTGGTTAGTACTTGGGTGGGAGACCACCTTGGAAGACTAGGTGCTGTAGGCATAAAAAAATAAATGGAAGGAAGGAAGGGAGGGAGGGAGGGAGGATTGTAAGCTGACAAGGTCCTTGCAATCTGTGAGGTCAACCAAAGTTTGCCTTGTCTGAATGAATGAATGAATGAATGAGTGAATGAATGAGTGAATGGTCAAATAAATAAATAATTTTCCTGATGTCCTCTCATTCCATTCTCATACAAAATTTAGACTCAGTTGGTTCCTTCATTCTCCTTCCCAAGTCCTTTTGAGATTTTGCTGGAATCAAATTAAATTTCTGGGGATTAAGATAGAATTTCCATCCTAAAAATAAAATATAGTCTTAAAGCCGAGAATAGGATACGTCTCTCCATTTATCCATGTTCCTCGGAACATCTTGCTGTTTTCTTCAGCTGGATTCTCACTTTCATGTTGGTATTTCATCTTCTGTGGCCATTGAAAATAAGGTGGTTCTTTCTGTCACATGCTCTGGCTCTCAGCTCTCGGTCTGAGTGAAGGCTGTTATTTCTGTGTATTAGTTTGATTCCTGACCTCCCAGTAAGTTCACTTGGCTTCAACAGTTGCTCGGCTTTACTCTGGGTTTTCCAAGTACA